GCAGTGTGGGCATGATAATTAATGGCAGCTGCCCCTTGGTGTAAGTATTAGGGAACAATAGCGAGTGCTGGGGATCCTAATGTCCTGGGGAGGGCACACCCCACTCACAGGGGGCTGCTGCCAGTCCCCGTTCAAGCCTCTAACTGCTGGCTGCCTTACTGGAATGCAAGCATTTAACTCATGGCTGCCCTCGTTCTTCTGAATTCTCAAGAAAAATCAGAATCTGGATTTTTTAAAAATGTGAAATCACATGATTTTTTAAATGTTGGCTTAATTTTTAAAATTGTGCTCGTCAAACAATAGCAGCTGTGGGCAAGCTTTGGTCTAAAGACCCTGTGTTTTGACCTCTGCTTTAAAGAAGCAAAGTATGTCCATGTATTAATGGCCTCATTCCACTTATGATCTAAGAGAAACATTCGGTCAGTGTCGCCGGGATGTTAGTGTCAGACAATTTCCTAGGAATGTAAGAAATACATATTGCATCAGGTCAGTGGTCCGATTGGCTCAATGTTTTGTTTCTCAGAGTTGCACCAGGGACCATTTAGGAAAGAGTCAGAGCCTGATCTCTCTGATGCTTGTCTCGGAAAGTTAGGGGATTCCCTCAAGCATTCCTGATTTTCTTCCTTCTGATTTATAAAATATTTCAAGTGTAGGGAATAACAGAACAAATAACACATCTCCTACCTTTACCAAAGCTTAACATGATTGTAGTTCCTTCAATTTTAAAATCAAATGTGGATGCTACTGACACTCTTGGTTTCTACTCCCTCCTCAGGGGCAACCGTTCTCCTGAACTTCACATTGACCATTTCCCTGTGTGTTTTCTTAGCTTAAAAAATTGTAAATCTTCCAGCCATTATCTTACTCTAAAGACCTGAGCCATTTATAGGTATAGGCACAACCTGAATAACCTCTTAAGTTGTAGACAAAGCAAATTCAGAAATAAGGGGACGCTGCATTAAGCCAGTTAATCTTTCCACCAATTGTTTCCTCCAAGGATGGCGAAATTTGTCCCAGCCAACCGACTTGAGTGGATGACGATATTCCTTCCTAGTAATGTGAATGAATGCTCTTTGGAAAAAGATAAAGTGTTACCCACACGCAAGGTTCTATCACTTTTATTACTGAGTTCCTTATGTATCTTCCTCCCTTCACAGACGAGCTTATTTTATTTGTCCTCAGACAGAGTTGAGGGAGTGTCCCCTATTCATGCTAAAGTGTCTTCCTCTCCAGCTTGGTTTCATAGACTTTAATTGCAGCCCTTCTCTGCCTTTGTTTCTCCAGACAAAGAGGTAGAATTGTTTTATTCTTTACCAGTAGGAAAAGTATTCTATTAAAATTTTCATAATTGTTCTTCTAAGTCTTTTCTAAGTCTGTTCTATCTTTCTGGAGGCACGGTAGCCAAAATTGCCTGCAGCATTGCAGGTGCAAAAAAGAAAAATTTGCGTTAGGTGAAGATTTATTAAAGCACTTGGCAAACAAAATTACGTTTAAGTAAAAAAATAAAACAAAACAAAGCCCAAACACATCCAAACTATAATGAGATACTGCCCATTAGGATGGCTACCGTTTAAAAAACAATACAAAACAGAAAATAACAAGTGTTGGGTGGACGTGGAGAAATTGTAACAATTATGCACAGTTGGAGGGAATCAAAATGGTTCAGTTGCTATGGAGAAAAAACAGTAAGATCCTTCCTCCAAAAATTAAAAATAAAATTATCATATGATCCAGCATTCCACTTCTGGGTATAGATCCAAAAGTGATGAAAGTAAGGTCTTGAAGAGATATCTGTACACTTGTGTTCATAGCAGCATTATTCACAATAGGCAAAAGGAGGAAGCCACTGAAATTTCCAACAATGGATGAATGGTACATACATACAATGGGACATTATTTATCCTTAAAAAGGAAGGATGTTCTGGCACATGTTATAACATGGATGAACCTTGAGGACATTATGCTAAGTGAGTCACAAAAAGATGAATACTGTATGCTTCCACCTATATGAGGTACCTAGAGTAGTCAAATTCATAGAGACAGAAAGTAGAATGGTGGTTGCCAGGGGTTGGGGGAGAGAGAAATGGGGAGCTGTTGTTTAATAGATATAGAATTCAAATTTTGTAAGATGAGGAGTTCTGAGATTGGTTGTACAACAATGTGAATATATTTAACAGTACTGAACTGCACATTTAAAAATGGTTGAGATGGTAAACAAAAACCAAAACACAACCAAAACCTAGAGCAATAATGTTTAAGAAGGATTATGCGCACATGACAAAGAAATGGGCAAAAGTCTCCATCAAATAGTAGCCACAACCAAGAGCATAACTTTTCAGCCGAGAATAGAGATCTTTGCTGAACTTTTTACCCACGGTTCACTGTGGTTCATAATCACCTTGTTTGGCCAATAAGAAAAGAAGGCCCATCTTATACTTCTGTTATTTCAGAAGTTAGAACATTACTATGCATTTACAGGTTGTTTTTAGGAAGGGCTCAATAAACATGTGTAGGTGGACTGATTAAGGAAGAGACAGTGTTAAGTGTGTAGCTGTGGACACCTACACCTAATACAGGTCTCGGTTTCACAATTTACTAGCTCACCACAAGCTACATGACTTCTCTAAGCCCCATTTTTCTCATGTGTAAACTGAGGAGAGTAATAGTAACTAGTTCATAGAGTTACTGTGAAGATTAGATAATCTAATGCTTATCGTGTTATCTGGCTAGAAAATCCAGGAAGCAGGTAAAGGCAGGTACACATGGGTTGATAAAGCCTGGTCTACAACCCTTCACCCTTATATCCATATGCCTCCCATAGAAGCCAGTACTTAGTAATTGTTCAGGAAATATTTACTGAATGAATGAATGATCAGACAAGGCTGAAAATATGAATTCTGTTAAAAATAGATTTATCAAACAATGCTCTAATATATTTTAAAAATAGTGCTATATATTGAAGAGGTAGATCATAATGGATTCCTGTATTTATTTCTGAGAATTGTGTTAGCTTTTTCAGGACCCTGTGGGGCCGTTTCAAGTTTATTCAGTGCCCACTATATTCCCAGCACAGTCTCAGCATGGGGACTGCAACATAAACAAAACATACACCTGTCCTCTGGTCCCTTTCAGTCCAGTGGAGGGGACAGGTGTGGAGGACATGGTAGAATAAGGGCCATGCTGGAGGCATGTCCATGGGTTGCAAAGGAAAGTCGCATTGAGCCTGCTAGAGGGTAGGATGGCTTTGGTTTAAGAACACTAAACTCGAGGACAAGGCACCTGAACTGGGTCATGAAGAACAGGAAGGGCTTCTCCAGGTGGAGAAAGGGGGAAAAGGCAGGGGGGATGAGCCGTGCAAAGGCTTGGAATAGAGGTGAAGGGGCTGAGACACCAGACACCTTCAGGAAGTGGAAGCTGTTTTTATGAAGCACAGAGTGAAGATGGGGAAAGGAAAACAGCCTTCGAGACAGGTGGGGGCCAGATGGCTCAGAACTCATTTGCCTGCAGTGGAGAGGGGCTTAATCCTCTTGGCAAAGGGAAACCACACAAGGGATTTCAGCAGAAAAGTGATCTGATCAGACAGATACGTGAAAGATAACTCTGGCAACAGAGAGAAGGACGGGAAGAAGGAGCCCAACACTACAGGGGATGGGTGGGCCAGGTGACCCACCGATTAGGGAAAACCTGGGAAAGAGGAGGAGGATCTAAAGATCTCAGCTGCAGTGAGAGGCACAGATGGGAGAGATGTTAAGGAGGGCTAACGAGACATGTGTACCTCATTTTACATGTTCTGTAAGTGAATGAAAACATTTAAACCAGCAGCTATGTACATGCTAATGTCATATGTGCAAGACCTTTCATTTTGGCATGTTACCTGAAAATCAATACTCTTGTGAAAAAAAAATAAGAGAGCACACCTCGAATGACTTCAACAATAATGACCCTGCTGGCTTTTAGTGCATTTGCTTCCAGCTGAACTCACTTAGGAGTTAACTTTGTTGGGGTTCCATGGTTTGGTTTCAAACTGGAAATCAAAGTCTCCTTCCACGTATATCGAATTCTGGCACGGAGGGTTTTTTCCTTATGAACCCGAGCAGTAGGAGCTCTGTGAAGAGGCCCAGAGCATTCTGCTAGCCCCGAGTCTAAAAGATTCTGCCCATGGTCAGGTTGAGTGTGGTGGGTAGGCACAGCTAGTGATGCCTGAGAGTAAGAGATCTGGGTCCAGGAAAGGAGTTGAAGGGTGGTGGTGACAACTTGTAGGGACAAGCTTTTTACCTGTCTTAGAGTATGCTAGAACTAGGCTGATGGACAAGACCATAGGGCTGGGCCATTAAAGGTGAGAGGATCAGAAACCCAATGAGACGATATAGAAGGTAAGTGGAACCACTAGATGCTGGCAGGCTTTCCTGAGTACTCTACAGTTAACCCAGGTCGGCTAATTCAAAAAGCATCACATCTAAGGTGGCAGTAAGTGGGTTAACTACCAAAAGACATGTGGAATGCTGTACTTTCCAATTACCTAACAACTACTATAGCAAGTTATGAACAAGTAATTCACTCTAATAATAATAACAGTTGAAAGTTCCTTTAGTATCCATCTATATTCATATACATTGCATAGAATTACAGTCACACTCTCGTACTCTTCCAAACAACTTTGTCCAAATATTTTAAAAACTTCTTGGCTGAGAATTTCCAAGGTACATGATCAAATCCTTGACTCTTGCCATCTTCTGTGCTTACTCTGTTCCTCCATCCTCCTACTGCCCCTGGTCCCTTCCCAGACTGTTGTAAAAGCTGAACACCAGAGAAGCAATGCCAACACATAAGCCAAATACCTTATGCATCAATACAAGGTCACGGTGTACACTAGGTTGCTGGTTAAGGTATATAGTTAAGTGCAAAACCTGAACATGTTCACAAAGTGTTACTGATAAGGCTGAGGCTCAGTAAATCATCCGAACAGAAGAAACTAACAAGGGAACAATCCAGTGTCTCACCCAGCTCCACGTCTTGGTCATCGGTGAGCATGAGGATGATGTTGGGTCGGATGTTTTTTCGTTCCTGCTGTATCCGTCCTCTGAACCTCGCGGATCTGACAGTCGAGCAGAGGCTCCCCAGCAATTCTGTGCCCAGGACAGCCAAAACCAGCGCAGTGCAGGAATACCTCATGGTCTTTGGTCCAATGTCGCAAAACAGACACGATGGCTCAGTCTCCTGATTTCTGGAGTTCTGGGCAATCAGAGAAAAAGGGAGAGGGAGAGACTAAAATGAAATCCAAACCCCAAACACAGTTGCAGGAAAAGGTCTACAAATGAGTCAGTACTGGCACATCAGCTGGCAGAGAGAGGCTGCACGTGAGTCAGAAGCAGCAAACCCTCCCAAGCATCGGGTAGTTTTTTAAGCACTTGATTATTTTGCAAATTCACTTTTGTTCTTTATTCTTATTCCAACTTTTCCTATTTCGATTCACTGCCAAAATATAATTTCCAACACAAAGCTCAAACGTAAAAGCTTTCTGACAAGAGCTAATACCTTGAATTAGGTATCCTGGTTGAATAATCAATTTCTATGCTCACAGGTATTCAGAACAGCTGCAGATGGAGTCCTAGAGGGGGGAGAAAAAATGCCAAGGGAACATCAGTAAAGGATTTTTAAAACAGATTTTTGATTTGAAGTAGTCTCTTGAAACAGCATGTTATATGTGTATAATATATATTTTTTCCTTCTGTACTCCAAAACGGGGGAACAGTAAGAAACAACACTCAGAACTGCTAACAAATCGCTCAAATAATAGCTTCATTTCAGAATCGACTCCACAAAAGGGTGGTAAGGGTGTCATCCTGCTCACGCTCTAACAGTACTTGAAACATCCCCAACAGAACTAATGATCAGTTCGAAGAGCCAGCAGTGCCATGACACCACGGTGCATTTGGAACGAGTGTTTGCACGTGGGGCATGGATGGCACACGGCGTGTTGGGGGAGCATTGACTCACCTGCATACGATATCGAGTACCTATCAAGCAGAAGGAAACAAAAAGCTGTCATTTGTCACCTGCATGATGTCACTCACTACCCAGGAGAGTCCTTTTTGCTGACAAAGACTTCACAGTGAGTGACTGGGACAACCTTTCCCAGCCTCTGAAAAGCTCCCAACTGTCCTCCATCAATCACCAGGGGAAATGACGCTTCCTCTGGTGGGCAAGGCTGGTCCCCCTGTCCAGCCCTCGTCCTCAGCTCGTGCCGGCGCTTGAGTGGACAGAGCCCGCTTTCGACTGTCAGTCACCAGCCTCGCTGTTGGCAAGACAGGGTACGGCGCGGCGAGCATAGTACAGGGGTTTTGCTTTGCCGCGGATCTGAACCTGCGAAGCAGAATGATTGATTGGCTCTGAGGCTGGAGGCTAGAGGCTACTCTTCCACGTTAAAAAATAAATAAAATCCAGAGGGGAGAGCTGTAAAATCTTTGCAAAGCTGCACAGAAGGAGGTTTTTGAAAGGATTGGAAAAATGCCCCCCTCGCTTTGGAACACTAACCTGCTGAAAGCTTTTTTCTTGGATGTCTGAATAGCAAAGGGCTCATTTAAAAAAATTTTTTTTTCTCTTGTATGTCATGAGGGAACCTCTTAATGGGAATTTAGGCGGCCCTAAAATTAATTAGATAGCAGTGTGCTTCATCAGCCACCCCGTCCCCATATACCTGAGGATTGTATTTTGAACTGCAACAATAAACTGGCATCGGATAAACAGGCATAACTAATTAGAGTGTAAGCGTTGCATAGCAGGAAAGGGGGCTCCATCACTCAATTTCATGCCCTCAATTCTGGAAGGTGACAGGGGGCAGTGAAAGAAGAAAGAAGAAAGACTGTGTACTGTTTACCCCTGCCATACACATTATTTTGTTTTACACAAACACACACATATCCCTATTATTTTAAACTTTATGAGCTATTTTGTAAACAGTTCTAATGCTTTTCACTCTGCAGCCTGTAATTATACTGCAGGGCGGGGGAGAGGAGAGACAACAAAAAAGAGGTTTTTAAACAAAAATCTAGTGTCTGCAGCCAGGCAGTCCTGACTATGTTATCTGCAGAGCAACAAACGAGCCAGCTCCAACTAATGGGGCAGCTCCATACAAGTCAATATGTAAGACTCGGTGCTTTTTTTTTAAACAACTAGGGGTTATTTCAGTGATTGTTGTGCATGCTGAACACTGAAAGCCTTCAATTATTCTGCACCGACTGTTTGGTTTCTGTGCATTTGTTTTAAATCATGAGAAACCTGATACGGGCATGAAAGGACAGGAAAACTACAGAAATAAAATGCCAAACAATGGCTTGTTCCCATAAAGCCTGGGTCAGGCTAAATAGTTAAATCTAGAAATTTCTTAGAGGGTTGGTTCTTTTAAGTAGCAAAACTTTGCTCACCTCTCAAAGCCTGCAAAGATGTGTGAAGAGAGAGTGAACAGGGTTTTCTTGCATTTGCCATAGCAAATCCTCGGCTGACAGTAGCAACCTGGAAGGACAGTCAGCCTCACTGCCTTGAGCAAACAGTGGCAGAGTTTAAATAATCAGCCACACACAAAACTGAAAGTTCTTGACAATTAAGATGCTGATAACATTCCCTGGAACCCAATCAACATTACTAGTTATTCTTTTCTTTATCTTATTTACTTTACTTCTTCCTTTAGGAAAAAGCAAATTAGCTTTAATGGTATCTTTGCATAAAGCACATCAAAAATCATTTCCTAATACAGAAAAGGGAAAGCAGAGTAGATGTGGTTTTTACCTACGAAGTGACCTTCCCTCCTGGTCAGTTACAAGTGCAGAAAAGACTTACATTTTTTCTGCCACAGTTTGTCTTATGTTTTTTAATTAAAATTTTTATTTTTACTTGACAAATAATAGTTGTATGTATTTATGAGGTATGGTGTGATGTTCTGATATATGTATACATAGTGCAATGATTATATCAAGTTAATTAACATATCTGTCACCTCACATAGTTATCATTTTTTGTAGTGAGAGTATTTGAATTCTATTCTTTTAGAAATTTCAAGACATACAACACATCCTTATTAACTATGGTCACTTTGCTGTGCAATAGATCTTGAAAGCTTATTCCTCTTGTCTAACCAGAACTTTGAACCCTTTTGTCAACTTCCCCCTCCACTGCCCCCCCTCCCCAGTTTATTACCCATTCAGGGAATTCATGCATAAAAACGTATAAATTGAGTGGCCAAGAAAGTTGAACTTTCAGACAGGACTGGCCAGCACGAGTCCTCTATCTCTTCCCAGCTCCCCTCACTAAAACACACAAAACACATCACTCTAGAAAAACTGCACATAGACAATTCTTCATTTGCAAATGACCTTTTAAAACCTGTCATCCTCTAATTGCCTGGTTTCCAGCTCCAGAAGGACAAGTGGAAAAGACAGGGGGAAAAAACCCCTGCCAGACAAAATGCAGAACTGGACGGAGGAGACAGGACGCAATGTTTGAATCGGATACTGTGCGCAGGACGACAAGGGTCCTTAGAGACGAACAATTTGTCTTGAGAAATAGTAGAAAATGGGAGAAATGTAAAAAGAGTTTTTTTTCTCACACATGGAAAGTGAGCTCGAGGAACGGTGTTGTAGTCACAAATTAAGACCAGAATACAAGTTGCCTTTTCTTCAAGCCATGAAATGAAAACACCAGTTGTAGTTGTGGTCAACTGCTGTAGAGTGTCCACAGGACTTTGTTTAGGGCAGTCAAGCCAAGCTGTAAATGTGGTACTAAATATTTCAAGTCACATATAAAAGCAAAAAAAGACTGGAAAGACTTCAGGTCAACTGGTTAGAAAGTTTAGTTCACATATGCTTGTCTAGCAATACTCCAAATGAAATCAAAGCCCTCATTATCCCAATGGGTCGAAGAGGACTTCTGCCTTCACCAAGCCCCTCTTGCCCAGGCAGCTGGTGCTACATCTCCAAAGGGCATGTTGGCTAATGAGCCAAAAGCACTCTGCTTTTGTCCACAGCAAGTTTCCAAAGTGTAGTCTGGGACTTTGGGGGCCCCTGTGACTCTTCTGGAGGGTCCACGAGGTCAGAAATATTTTGGTAAGAATACTGACACATTATTTGCTTTTTTCCACTTTGTTGACATTTGCACTGAAGGCATAAAAACAGTGGTGGGTAAAACTACTTTTGTCTTAGCAAGAATGATGGAAGCTTCACGTACAGTTTTTTAAAAAGCCAGTTTCACTTAAGATGAAGCATTAAGATGATTAACTTTATTAAACTTTGGCTTTGAATACACATTTTTTCTTTTCAATGTTCTATTTTATGAGGCAGGAGGTACACACAAAGCTCCTTGCTGTTTTGCAAGTATGACGGTTGTCCTGAGGAAAAGCACTGAGGTGGCTGCGCTGCAAGCTGAACTAGCCATTTTTCTTTTTTCATTTTTACTTAAAAGAATTATCTGAACTTAGATATTTGGCAGATCCTTTCTCAAATAATGAATGAAACGTACCTATCATTTCAAGGGAAACTGACAGTATTTGTTAATAATGGTAGAAATCTATCTTTTTTTTTTTTTTGAGACAGAGTCTCACTCTTTTGCCCGGGCTAGAGTGAGTGCCGTGGAGTCAGCCTAGCTCACAGCAACCTCAAACTCCTGGGCTCAAGCGATCCTCCTGCCTCAGCCTCCCGAGTAGCTGGGACTACAGGCATGCGCCACCATGCCCGGCTAATTTTTTCTATATATTTTTAGTTGTCTGATTAATTTCTTTCTATTTTTAGTAGAGACGGGGTCTCGCTCTTGCTCAGGCTGGTTTCAAACTCCTGAGCTCAAACAATCCGCCCTCCTCGGCCTCCCAGAGTGCTAGGATTACAGGCGTGAGCCACTGCGCCCGGCCTGACCACTGGATTTTAATGTAGCAGAGTATGAAAAGTTCATTGATGTGGTTTCGGATTTCTTACCACAAATAACCTTTAAGAAATTATCACTTGTCAAGTTTTGTTGTAGTATCAAAGAATATCTACAAGTATCTGAAAAAGCTATTAAAATATTTCTACTTTTCCAACTACTTATCCATGTGAGGCTGGATTTTATTCCTGTACTTCAGCCAAAACTATGTATTTCAACAGATTGAATGCAGAAGCAGATATAAGAATCCAACGTTCTTCTTTACAGATAGACATTAAATAAATTTGCAAAAATGTAAAACTAATGTCACTTTATTCACTTTTTTTGTTTGGAAGATACAGTCATTTTTCATAAAATATATCATTTAAATTAACATATAATAGGTTTGTTATTGTGTTCAAAAGAATCAAGAAAGATTTAAAATTTTTCTGTTTTAATTTCTAAGTATTCCATAATCCTGAGATCCCCAACCCCTGGTACCAGTCCACAGGGTATTAGGGGCTGGGCGCCTGTCTGTGCAATTGTCTTCCGTGAAACTTGGGAAACAGGAAGGGGGGCCTCACAGCAGGAGGAGAGTGGCAGGTGAGCTCGAGCTTCATCTGTATTTACAGCCGCTCCCCATCACCGGCATCACCACCTGAGCTCCGCCTCCCCACCGCCCCCCTCCATCGTCCCCGTGGAAAAATTGTCTCCCATGAAACC